GACAAACTTAACAAAAACAAAGGTAATATAAAGGAAACTTGGAACACGATTAAGGAATTATGTAACATGAAACAGAATAAGGCATCGCCTACTGAATTGCTTAACATAAACACTGATGTAACTGGATCGCTAGATGATGTGAATGCGTTTTTTTCATCGGTTTGTTCAAACCTTGCTAAAAAAATTCTGCAAAACTTAAATACTGATGAGACAACCCTAGCTCAAAATGCAAAAATCACAAATGAACCGTTACACTCCATGGCACTACACCTAACGGACCCTGCAGAGGTGATTGATGTAATAAGTGGCCTTAAATCACATAGTGCTCCAGGTTTAGACAAAATAACAGCTGCCTTTTTGAAAAAGTTTCGTTTTTACCTCGCCAAACCTATATCCTACTTGACCAACTTAACCTTCGAACGAGGCATCTTCCCTAAAATATTTAAGCACGCTATTATCTGCCCCATCTATAAATCAGGAAGCAAGCATCTTCCCACGAACTATAGACCTATTTCACTGTTGAGTACCCTCTCTAAAGTAGTTGAGAAAATAATGAACAAGCGTTTAATAAGTTATATGGAAAGCAATAAACTGCTTGGTATGAAACAATACGGCTTTCGAGCAAATCGCTCTACTGATGACGCTGTATTACAACTAACATCTAATATTACATCTCACGTTGACAGAGGCGATAAATGTTTAGCCGTATTTCTTGACTTACAAAAGGCGTTTGACACCGTTTCTATTCCGATCCTTTTAACTCGCCTTGAGAATCTAGGCAGTAGGGGAAACGCACATCTATGGTTGAAAGATTATCTCACAGAAAGATACCAGTGTGTTAGAGTTGAAAACCATACCAGTAACACCTGTATGGGGTCATATGGGGTTCCACAAGGCAGCGCTCTTGGTCCTACGCTATTTCTTGCATATATTAACGACCTATGTAAATTTGAAATTCAGGGTGCTGACATACAAATGTTTGCCGATGACACAGTGGTATTGTTTCATAGTAATGCATGGGAGAATGTACGACAAATAGCTGAAAAAGGTATGTCTCGTATTACAGCTTGGCTTGAAGATAGTCTACTATCAATAAATGTGGACAAGACAAAATTCCTATGTTTTAGTAAAACTATGGCATCTTCGCCAAAAACACTCCAGTTATCCATACATTGTCATCCATGTAACCGATCAACAATCGAACTGTGTGCACGTTGCAGTTGTCCTGAGCTGTCAAGGGCAACCGAAATCAAATATTTAGGGGTAAATATTGACGACAAATTAAACTGGAAGAAACACATAAACACAGTTAGTGGTCGACTAAGGAAGTTTATTTACATTTTTAAGGATTTACGAATTATACCAGACATTACACTTTTAATACAAACGTACAAAGCCCTAGCTGAATGTTTAATCACCTACTGTATATGTTCGTGGGGCTCAGCTGCAAAAACATACTTGATTGAGGTCGAAAGAGCACAACGGGCTGTTCTTAAAGTACTCCTTTACTTACCATTCCGTCACCCTACTCATCTAGTGTATGAAAAGGCTGAAGTTTTAAGCGTACGAAAGATGTTTGTCTATCAATGTATCCGCAAATATCACAAGCATACTGTACCTCTTCTCCAACCTTCGGGTAAAAGAAAAGACAAATGTCCAATCCCAAGGGTTAAAAGCAAATTTGCTCAACAGCGATATAGTAACATTGCACCAAGGCTATATAATAAACTTAATTTAGATTACAAAACCAGACACTTATCGAACTACCAAATTAAAAACATAATTAAAATATGGCTTAACAGTTTGGCCTACGATGATGTAGAAAGCTTATTGCTGGTAAGAACGTAGTTCAGGTTTCAATACACATACACAAACACACAAATACATACACACACACACACACGCGCGTGCGCACTTGCACAAGCACACGCACACGCATAGGCACACTCACACGCACACTCACACTCAAACGCACACTCACACGCACAGGCACACACACACACATGCACACGCAAAATTAACCAAAGATCTTTTGTAAGTATTCTTCAATGTTTCTTTGTATGTTCCACGTGATTATTGTAACAACTTATTGTATCATGTCTTTGGGAAGGAACTGATCCCCGATATACAGCTCACGCTAGTTTGGGAATCAGGGCTTGCACTTGAATTGTATGTATCATTTGTTACAATAAAATTTATTATTATTATTATTATTATTATTATTATTATTATTATTTTAAAAGGCTTGTTTCACTTAGAAAAACCCTATAAAATTTTACCCAATCCGAGAATCAAACCCGAGGCCTCACGTATCATACTAGACCACTAAGGCAGCGCAAGGCCGCCGCTAGCTGTTCCGATGATTTTTAGCCACCCTTTTTTCCGTGCGGTGGGGTGGTTATGAATTTCGTTGATGATCAAGTCATTTTTATCCTTATCAATTTAGAAATCATATTGCTTAATTTCAATACAATTATAACGCGGCATGTTGTAGGAAGTCACGGGACGCCGCAGCATGTCGTATCATGCCACCATATGCCGTGAGTTACATAGGTCGCAGGAGTATAGCCCTCGGAGTCAAGGGCGGGAAACAGTCAATCAGTTTCGTCTGCGCGCATACAAATTTGGTTGAGTCGTTCTGATTGACTGGGATTCAGTATTATTAGCAGTTCTTGCTGAAGATGAAGAGAGACAAACACAAACTGGTATATTAAAGCAAAAACAATTCTGGGCACATCATTTGTGGAGAACACGAGAGACACTCATTGTGTCAAGACGCGCGACCCTATTTGCCAACAACAGCGCCACATCGTGCTTAAACCTTATTTCAATTAGTTTGGCTGTCATACACCAAGACGTGGCGCGGTGTAGTTGTACACATGGAAACACATGGAAATATGGATAAAAAGAACTTGATCAGAAATAAAATCTTTTAACAAACCGTACAGTGTCGCGACGTAAGTCAGTGCCCGCCCTATTGAGTGGCTGGGCTTTCTGCGAGATGCCACGACTTGACGCGGTATGCTTTGGCATGCTGCTTCATACCATAGCATCCTTCGGCTGCCGTGCCTTGCCACGACGTTAGTCAGCGCCGGCCCTAACACCGCACGCCGCACCTCTCGGGCAACAGCCGGGCAACCAAGTGTAACCTAGAAAGGAAATCCCTGATACCCCGATGGGTCCGAGTCATTAACGGCTTACAGATGGTCTCCTGACGTGAAGTGACCACGGTTTCCCCTCAATAAATAAATTCCCTAAGGGAGCTCAACATACACAAATCGCTTATATTTTTGTATTACGTCCATTTTCACGTTCGGATATGCACGTCAATACGTCCACTGTAGTCTTATGTTTAATACCCAATTATATTATCTACAAACAAGAAGTACTAGGAACTAATTAGGACCACTGCGTTCGAGCGCACGTACCTACTAATTAATTCGAGAAAATTCATAAAATGCCTTCCTGTATAATCCGAAAGTATAAAAATTACGACAAAAAGGTAAATAAAGAAAAAGGAATATCATACCACAGGTAAGTTTTTGTTCCAAAATGCATTACTAAATGTATGTTACGGAACAAATATTTTGTGCGTGCAGTATGAATATATCATATCTGCCTTAAAATATCATTGTTAATACCCGTTTTTCAGAAAAAAAACAGCATGTAGTGTCTTTCATGTGCTGTAGCGATTCTGTTGCAAACCCCTTAAACGAAAACAGAGTGTCTGCATATTCTTTATTAGCCAATTAAAGTCCACTAAATGTTGAAAAAATAGTTGATTTTCAACAGTAAACAGATTTTGAGTACGACATTGTTAATATTAACTGATTCTTTGACAATATGAAGCAGGATTGATTGGTTGAATGAATACAATGTGTACGCAAGGAAAAACCAATTACACGTATACATTTTAAAACTCTATACCAGCTTTTTTAACAGTTTTCGGTGAGGAAGTGTGCGAAGAATTGTTCTCCTGTGCTTACTGACTTCTTTAAGATAAAACTTTTTGGGTAAAAAATATTTAGCTACATAAACTACGCGACAGATTTTATCGCTGTTTTCATCAATAGAGAAATTTAACTAAGAGGAAGGTTAATTATGAAGATACATGCATTTTATAGTAGAAAAATTCAGAGAATTTCAAAGATTTGTAATGTGATGTCATAAAAAAACATGTTCTTCTGCGCTTACATTGCAAACGGTGGCTTTACCTTAAATAATGTAGCACTTAAAATAATGTACGAAATTGAATTTCTCAAAAAAATCTTAAAAAAAGTCCATAATGGTATATGTCTATCTCCTAAAGATCACACAGTAACCATTTCTATCTTTCAGATATTAAAAAAAAATGGGTTTCTTACGAAGCTATTTTTAACAATACAGTATTATTCCTTTAACAATTAAATACGTTAAGTGCGTTGTACATTTAATGTATATCAATATCGCTCTTTACGGCATATTTATCATTTAACAGGTATTTAAAAGAGATTTAAAATACGGGGCAGAGCGGCCGTCGGGCTGTGCGTCCGTCTCGGGTGGCAGAAGACGGCATATGTAAAATATATAAATCTATATGCACTAATGTTGTAAAGCTAAAGTGTTTCTTTGGTTAGTTAATCTCAGGACCTACTGGTTCCGAATTGAGAAATTCTTTTAGTGTTTGATAGCCCCTTTTATATTGAGGAAGGCTATTGGTTATGCAACTGTACGCTGCGACCAATAGGAACCGTGCATCAATGTAAAATGTTGAAAAAACGGGGAATATTTATTCCTTTTAACGAAATTGCACACGTCAGCGTCAGCAGCATCAGCAGTATGATATAATTAGTAATTATAACCTCGAATGTATATTTTAAACTATTTAAGAAAAAAATGCAAAAACACAGTTTTGATATCTGGTCTTTTAATATAAATATTTATCTTATAAGAATGGTGTCCGGTCCCAGTCAACACAGCATACCATAACTCAAAATTCACTCTTATATACAAATTAAAACTTAAGAATTTCTCATTCCTGTAACTTTCCTGTAAGCACTAAAATGTTCTAGATACTGGTATATGGTGTCTATTGGGGTATATATTTCGTTCATTTTGCTTAGTAGGTGTTGCGGTGGCTGGACAGGTACTGCTGGTCCTAGCAACCCCTGAAGGAACTCTCTTAACAGGCTCCAGACAGCATTTGCCATGACACAGGGCCGATATTCTATCTGGAATAACATAAAATTGGTAACGTAATTGTCTCAAAAATGGAACTTACTGCATGACTCTTAGACTGTTTAGTGGAAAAGTCATGCTTCAGCACATTTGGGCCCACTGGACAGGAGTCATGACCTCAGAGACAACCCGCGTTAAGCAAATCCTTCATGGCTTTTCACCGAGTGAGTGAGGTTACAGGAGCCCTAAACTCCTCGGTGTATCCTCGGGTGTCGTAAGAGTCCACTAAGGGAGCTAACTACGCAGGGCAAACGCACTGCAAAGAGAAGGAAAACTTGAAACAAACCCTATACCAACCTGTCTGGCCACTGTGGTATAGTAGGCCATAACCTCCTATCTAAGGAGAGGCCTATGTCCAGCAGTGGACTACTAATGGCTGTTGATGATGATGATGAAACTCCTGCTTCCTTAATTTGGTAGGGGGAGGGGGCTCAAATGGCCAGAACGCACTTGTAACTCGTAGGTGTCCATGGGCGACGGTAGTTACGTACCATCAGGTGACCAGTCTTATTCTGTTGAAAAAAGTTACCGTGCTAGTTGTGTTTCACGGTTCTAGCAGCAGAGAAATTTGGTGACAGATAAGAATGGTGTGTAATCTATAACAATAATTAATTTTACTAACCTCAATAAGAATTCCTTTAAAGTTCTGATTCATGGTGACTGATCCGAGTTTAACACAAAAATCTCCGAGTTCAAACCGTGGTCCTTTGCTCTCAATTTTGGTTTGTTTCTTAGAAGTATACTGGTGGGATAATTTCATCATGAGTAAATCAAATAGACCATCGGCTATGACATGAATGTTTTTTGTACCGCTTTCTAGAATGGAGAATACGGACGCTGGTTGTTCAGAGTTATGAAGTATGTGGACTGTTTTTGTTGTGCCTAGAATAGAGAGAAAGAAATGTATTAAAATTTTGTTTATGGCATAGGGGCAAACAATTAGATTGGTGATGGTAAGTGACTACCAACACCCATGGAGACCTGAAAATGAAGAGTCACAAGTGCATTGTTAACCCTCTGCTTGTTAGAACAAAAAAATAACTATACAAACAAAAACACAACTAGGTTTTATAATTTTAAAATTATAGGTATTTTAAAATAATAATGGGACATATTAAGTCTGATATAATTTTTCTAAAATGCATACCAGTCATTATTCCAAAATATAAGGTGACAAACAAGCACCATGTTTACACAATTCTACGTGTTTTCTAAGAACCCTAAGCACACTCACTCAAAAACATCTGACATATCATGGTTTGATGCTAAGCAGTGCCTTTAGTATGGTAACGAGACCTCTGATAAACATAGTTATATATTTCTAAATACATACATATTAAAGATAAACTACACCCAGACACATTTAGGTTGGGAATCGAATCCACGACCTCAGGCATAGCAGTCACAATCACTAATCACTAGATAGCAAAGATAGCATTTACTCTTTTCCGCATTTGTAGTATCAATAATTATTAATGTTAATATTACTAACCCATCTGGGGGTGTGATAGGTAACTTTCACAATCCACTAGGAACTGTCCTTGTTGAGTCGCTCCTAAAGCAAGAATTCGCTTCGTCAAAAGTTCTATAACGTGAGTACCGGTCTTATTTTCAGGCACAGGATACTGCTGTAAACTATTAAAAAAATCGTAGATAACGTCATACTGTATATGTTTACTGCTTAAAATTAAAAAAAAAATAGGACGCTCGATTTGATCCAAAAATATACACTTACACTGTAACACCCATGATTGTAGTCTACACTTTGTAAACGACACAGTATTTCTCGGTAAAAAAATTCTAGATTCTCTAACTAATACATTGTGGTGATTATTATATTATTAGATAGCTAAGGGTACTTGTAGGCAATAGTTAAGTACAGTTTTAGCTTTTGGATGCAGTTTTTAAAACGTAAACACAGCCAATAACAAAAGCACAACAAACAAGTTTCAGACTTAGGAGGTTAGAATAGGGTTGCCTCATAAATTGTCATTTTGTCGTTAAATTACGAAATATCAAGCTAAGGATATTAAAATCAGATAGGGTTAGTCAAGAAACGATAACACATGTAAAATTTGTTTTAAATAGTGACCCATGTTGGTCATTGTATGTTATATCCTCCTTGGTTAATCTGTTTAGTCTTGGGTAGTCTGTAAGTTGTCCCAATTAGTTAGAACTGAGTGCATCATATGGAACATGACTGACATTTAAGTTTCTCTTAAAAAGTATGCACATGCACAAGAATTTGTTGAAAAAAACAAATGGTTATTATAAATAATTTTTAACTCGATATAAATTTCTTAAAAATCATTTTTTTTATAAAATGACATCCCTAGCCTCTCTTTGCTCCTGTAATTGACATTAGGATCATCCGTTCATAAAGAATGTTTTTCTGATTTAAACGAAATTAAAAAAAAAAGAAATGAAATGAAAGAAGAAACAAATAAATTTATACGACATACCCAAAAAAATACAATATAAATTCTTAGTTGCAATTATAATCCTTATATTGAAACAACGGCTTTTAGATTTTTTTCATTATGTAAAAGAAAACATAACCTTTACTTGGTTGGCTATCGATAACACATATTTCCTCCGACAATTGCCTACCAATAACCTGAAGCCATTTCCAATACAAACGTATCATATGAAAAGTCCAAAGGCCAATAATAACAATCCTATAAAGTGTAATTGGTAACAATATTTTGACGTAATCATACACCGTTTGCGCTGGACCAATGGAATAACGACAGATATTTTCATGGGCAAATTTGACAAGTGCCGAGCCCCATTTATCTTATGTATTTATTTACATCAAAACCGATTATTTGGTCATTGAGTTTTCAGACAGGTCACTTGATAAATAAATTAGAGTTCGTTCTTTTATTGCGTCAGCGTAAATTTCTAGAGTTATAGCTACCGTACAAGTTGTGCTATTGTATTTGCGTGCTTTAGAATTTCACAGGTTTTGGGTGTTATCTAATAATAGTGGATAATTGTTGGATATTTAAAAATGATACCAGATAACGTGACATTAATTGTAAAAGCGCCAAACCAGCAGATTGACGATCAAAATATAGAATGTCAATCATCGTGGACCGTGCGCCAGTTGAAGGGGCATCTCGAAGAAGTATACCCTAGTAAACCTGTAAGTATTTTCAAAGATTTTATTTCTTACTAGCTAGTGCCCGCGACTTTGTTAGCTTGGCATTTAAAAAGCGCTGCTTTTTTGGCATAAGTATTCTAAATAACAGTGTAAGCATGAAAAAATCTATAATTTTGATGTTACAAACACACACACTCCAATTTCATTTATTTGTATAGATCAGATTTTATGTTTAGATTATATGTTGTCAGGCAATAGCCTGACAACACTGTGTCAGGCATTAAACATACCTCCAGCATTGAAAAAGATTAATATATTGAAACAATATTATACAAGTTATCTGTATTCTGTAATAATAATCAAAATAGATTGTACTTGAAGTACAATCTATTTTGATTATTATTACAATCTTTTATAATGACGACTGAATGGTGCAGTGGTTTGTGTAACGGACTGCTATTCCAAAGGTTGCAGGTTCAATTCCGGCTCAAGTCAACACATATATATTTACAAAAAAAAGTATACATGTATTTATATCAGTTGTCTAGTAGTATATAGTACAAGCTCTGCTTAGTTTGGGACTAGATGGCGTTGTGTGAATGTGGTAGAATATTATTATTATTTTAGTAATGGCACTTGATTAATTTAGTTATTCCCAATGCTGTCTGTATAAGGAGTAACTTAAGCTATTTTTCCTCTCATAAAAACCCTTAAAAATGTTGCCTCGCCCCTGAATCGAACCGAAGTCGCAGGTAAAAGCTAGTTCATTAGTGAATTATTTTAGTGTTTGCCTAGATTTGCAGCACCATTTAGTAAAGAAGTCTGATGCTCCTAGGTTTGCACCCTGAATCTATATACTGATTGCTATTATGAAGGCCATAAGCTTTCACCATTGATTATTATTAAAATATTGTGGTATATCCTCTATAATGGTAGGCCTATAATTTCAAGTCCACAACCAGACCTTAGATAGGTTTACAACTAGAATGTTGACTAGAATCAAAAAGGTATTCTATAGACTTACATTTACTGTAACTGCTCTGCTCCTAAGGGCCCTAGCATGATGTTACATAGACTATACCCTAATGTATGCTCTAGCCAAGACATAAAAAAAATTAAATCTTTGCAGTAGTTGTAAAGTAAGAAGGCTCTGACTCCCTGGAAACAGTCAATTTACAGCCCTGTGTGAGATGTGTTTAGTTATTATTATTATTTGAGTACTGAAATGTGGCCCAGAATAGCTAGAGCTGTCTCTAACAATTCAGCATTCCCATTTCTTTTGCCTTGTTTCTTATCATCCTGGCAATATAGCCTCAATTATCCTATCTAACCCATAAAGTGTCAGGTTGACGGAAATAATTTGGTCCCCTATAATGTCTGCAGCACCTAAATTATACTCCTTTTGCCAGATATAGGTGTGAATATATGAGTGGTAATTCAGAGTAATCATTAGTTTAAACAAATAATATAACAAACAATGCCTGTTTTATACATTTTTATTATTATATTATTATCTTTATTATGTTAATAAATGAATAGAAATAGAATAACTACTCTATAAAGTAAACATTATTTACATCTGCTTTCGTAACCATAGAAAAAACATGATCAGTGTAAATTAATTTTACTTTTTAATTAAAATTTCAGTATTAACAACAGTTTTTTATTACTTGTGAGTTGTTTTTACTATGTTGAAAATGAAAGGAGGTGGCTTGATTAATATTTCTCTTAAAATATTAGTCACCGATCCGGTTAGGCAACCAGGTATACTAGACATGGAAATTATTGCTGCTTTATATCATATTTATTTGATGAAATGATTGGTTTTAATAACAGGGATTTCACATGTGATTGTGATTTCGTCATGCACATAATATCAATCAACAGCCTATAACAGTCCATATGGACATATGCCTCTCCTTAGAAAGGAGGTTTTGGCCTAATTTACCACGCTGGCCAGACGGGTTGGTATAGGGTTTGTTTCAAGTTTTCCTTCTCTTTGCAGTGCTGTTGTCCTGCTTAGTTTGCTCCCTTAGTCAGCTCTTACGACATCCACGGGATGAATAGGGGTGGTGACATTGCGTATTCTTAATCCGTCACCATACGGACGAAGATAAGTAGCAGTAAAAGTACGATTTGGAAAGTAAAAACTTATCATCAACAGCCTTTAGTAGCCTACTGCTGGACATAGGCATCTCCTTAGAAAGGAGACTAACCAAACGGGTTGGTATAAGGTTTATTTCAAGTTTGCAACCAAGTTTTCAACTAATAACTATACCATTTCAAACAAAGAAAAATTTTGTAAACTGGTCTAGCTGCCTTCAAGTAATCGTAAAACATATTAAAACAAATATTCCGAAGAACTGAGTGTTCTTCTTCTTTTAAAGATGAGATGAGAAAGCAAAACTTTGGCACATATGGATATGGGTCAGTTCGATCTGAGTAATACCACGGCATCACAGAAAACCGGTGTTTACCCCTTTTTTCTTTGCTTTTCACTGAGTAAGTGAAGCTACCAAAAATCCAAACCCTTCCCCCATTTCACCCTAGTTTTGGGGCAGAGGACTCGTAGGGCGGCATCGCACTTGTGACTCCTGAGTTTCAGGTGTCCATAAACGGCGATAATCACATACGATGAGGGGTCCTAGTGTGAGTTTACTTCATATCAACTCGATCTCGACGGCGACCACGCTTGGCGTTGCGATTGGTGAATATTTCAGTGATAACCAACCACAACACCGAGCGCGGTCACCGTGACGATCGAGTTGATGTGAAATAAACTCACACTAGGCCCTCTTTTGATTCGGCTGCTGCTTTTAATATGCCTTATTAGAGATTTTATATAAAGTATTCAAGCCTTTGTATAGAACGTCACGTGGTCAACCAGTCTTTATCACAACCCGTTGCAATTATTTTGGCTGATAGCATTTTAACAAGCAATTAATAAATACCATAAAATATATAACTAATGGCTGCTGAAAATATGCTGATAAAACATTTAATATGCTAGGTATTAATTGCCTCCTCACATACCACTTTACTGAAATATTTCCAATAGCAGTATATGTGGCTTCCGCATAAAATTAGATATGTTTTTGAAAACATTGTTTCATACTTTCAACTTCGATGTGAAATCAACTTGCACTAGGCCCTCTAAAAGCCGAGTGCAAGTTTATTTCACATCGACCCTCGACGGCGAGCGCGTTTAGCGTTGCGATTGGTGGAGATTTCAGTGCGTGACCACGTCACGTAGAAGTGAAATAAACTCGCACTTGGGCCGCTGATAGCTCGTAAGCCTCTAATTTCTATTAAAAAAAAAATATGACTATCGAATAGAAGTGAAATAAACTCGTACTTGGCCCTCAGATGACCTGATAGCTCGTTAGCCTCTAATTGCTATTAAAAAAAATAAAAGAAAAAAATAAGATAAGATCACGACAGTTTAATGACATAGGTATTATATCAATGTTGGACTTCACACCTTTACCAACTAAATAGATTCGATTATCAAAGAACGCGTGACCACTCTGTATTTCGCAACCCAAATTGACAATCGACAACAATTTTCAATGGTTGATAAAATTGTAATACGTAATACTCGAGATCGACCGATTTCTCTATTCCTTTTAGTGGTACATGACTCAATCTTTATTACGGTTAATCGTTTATATAACAGCTAATCTAGCTAGCTTCAGACACCACAAAACTGTGCTGTAAATACTCGCAGTCTTATCGTACTTTATTCACTGAATAGGTATTATAGCCCTAGAGCTGACACTAATAAATCACAGCTGCACATAAACACCTGCAACTCCTGAGTCACAAATGCGTTCCCCCCCCCTTCCCAAGAATTAAAGGGAGGGAGGGTTTTGGGCTTCGGCTTAACCTCACTTAGAATTGCTTAACACTGGTGTGTGTCTTAACTTATTATTATTAGGTGTTACTATTCGATTCCTAATTACAGTATCGTCACCTAAGCACATAATACATGCAAAGTTACTATCTAATACAACAGTTACAAATAGGTTTAATTTTACATTGATTGGACTATATTACAAGAAAAGACTGAGGTAAGAGACCCAGGAGTTCAATTCGCACAGCAAATTAAGCAGTTTTTTGCAGCATGTAGACTGCGTCATGCAGACTGTTCCGCAAACCAGACACAAAAATTTCAATACACAACAGATACGTACGTAGTTGCCTTGAATAGGTACTGTTCGGTAGTCACTACAATACAACATACACCAACTTAGAATTGAACGCATACAGAAAAGATTCCTCAGGCACTTAACTTATTCCTGTAAACTACATAAACAGCTTAAAACGTACAATGATAAACTTAGACATTTTAGAATGGACGCCCTGTCGGTCGCAGGCAACTCCGCAACTCCGCAGTCAACATGACGTTTCTATACAAAATATTAAGGAGTGAGCTTGATTGTCCGTCACTTTTAAATTAATTTACCTTGCGTGTCCCACGTCGAGTGCCTAGGCGAGTACTCGTAAATGCTGGGTTGTGGCATCAGCCGTTTTCCAGAACCAATCTGAAGCAATTTTCGACCACATGCCGTTTGTCCAAAACACCATAAGCGGAGAAGTGGATGTGTTTGCTGACAAACTTCCCACTTACAAGAAAGTTGTTTTGAAATTGTGATCCATTTTTCTAATTTTTTCTTTCATTTTGTTACTTACCTTTTCATTGTTTTATTTTACTTTCGTTAATTTTTTTTTTATTTTACGTTTACACGTGCTACTATTGGTGCATGTTGTGACACATTAGAATGCTGTGCATTTATGCTAGTTTTTAGTAAATTTATTGTTGCATATGCAACAGCAACTGGATGTCCTTATTAAATAAATAAATAAACTTGACTTTCAGCTTGTTTTTTGTAGTAATATATTTTGTGTTTATTTAGAACACGACACAGTTATAAGAAACACATACATATATATATATTAGTGTTAGAGCGATAACCACGTGAATTTGTAAGCACACACCCACATTAGCGGTTGGGTATTGAAGATATAGATAAAATAGGTCAAATTGTAATCATATACTAAATTCTATAAAAAAAAACATAAAATTGGTTTTTATTCTATACTATTTACCACAGATTTAGCTTACGATGTTAAAGTTCTATAAATATTTTTATATCCCTCGAGAACCGTACTTTTTTTTGATGTAAAGAACCCTATTTCCTCCTATATGCAAAAATCATGTTTAATTAATATCCATTTAATATGAAAAAATAAACATGTTGCCACAAAAAACTACAAAAGAAGTTATACTCCTATAACTAAAATGTTATAGATTTATATATGGCAACATTTCTCTAAATCAATGTCACGTGCCGGCCGGTATCATGTCTACAGAATAAAGGTTTAAAGATAGACGGCAATATCACCGTAATTGGCAATGCAACCTAACGACTTAATAAAGTAACTTCTCGCTTAATTGCTACTATATTTAAAAGAATATTAAATTTATTCAGAGTCCGTCCGACCGCTTTCATCATCAACAGCCTATAACAGTCCACCGCTGGACATAGGCTTCTCCTTAGAATGGGGGTTTTGGCCTACTATATATACCACGCTGGCCAGACGGGTTGGTATAGGGTTTGTTTCAAGTTTTCCTTCTTTTTGCAGTTCTGTTCCTCCTGCGTAATTTGGTGCTTTAGTCGGCTCTCTCGATACCCATTTTTTTAAATTAAAGGACATTATTGATGGACAGTATCAAATGAAATGTCCTCCTGCACATTTACTGCAGCTTTCCTTTTATATAATCTTCTGTTCTTATTGAAGTAAGCGGTTCGGTTTCGTCTAGGAATGTTAGCTAGAACAATTATTAATAAATTTCTCCAGCAGAACAGGTCTTCCTTGTCAGTATAATATTAGCAGATTATAGTTTATATTGACAGATAAATTGAATAAGATAGTTCTAAAAACAAACAGTTTAGTGTAAATACTGTTAATTTCATGGTGTATGTATATTTGATATAAATGAATGTTTTTATCTTGAAACTGCGCAAGAGTCATTTAGTTTGCGAGTTTGTTTGATTAGATAACAACGTGATACGGGATAAATTAGCAATACGTCATCACTTTCATCTAAAAAATATACTATCGTGTAGATATATGTAAAAAATAAATATACGGTACTCCTGATATTGGACGAGTGCTTAGCCGATTTTTCGTAGAATAGCACTTGCTATTGTGTGTGTGGATGGGTGCTTGTTATTCGCCGAGCAACGATTGTTATCGCTCTGTTACTTTGGTATCCCCTTTTTGGGGAAGGGGCACTCAAAGGGTCCTTTATATCGTACTATAGATAATACGTAATTTTACACTTTGTAGACGTTGCGCTTGTACACGTTGTAGCGTTGCCAAAGAAAGGGAACAAAATTCCTAGATACTATTCCATCTAGTAAACGGTATTTATATAAAGCTAAACCTGCTCAAAACTACCCATTCCTGCAGAAAACACAGACAATGTTTAGTAAATAATGATTATTTTAACATCACGTTGTAATATCTATGTACTATCGCCCGATTACTGATAACCTTGGACTGTGACACGTGAAAACTGACACGCGCTATCTTCACACGGACGAGTACTAGAAATATTAAGGATTTAATTTGGTTCTCAATTACTACTCGCATTCTGGACACCCTAGCAGGTTCATTACAACCTTAACACCTCCACTAACATACCACAGCCCTAATCACCCGCCAGCATAGCAGTTATGACCAGAACCTCGCGTTCAGACGCCCACATGGGGCAGTCCTCCAGCGTATGCTGGGCGGAGTCTAAAGTAGTAATTACAAGTTTTTCTAACAAGATTTAACTAGGGTTTTGCTGTAATCTAATATGATAATGTAATTAGTCAAAATCATGACGCAAGTGCAAATTTACGTCAGTTCTTCAACGTAGTAGTTTGTAACTTATGTTAATTTGAATATGGTTTCATATTCAACTGTCGTTAAATTCACTCTGTCATTTTTCCAAGTGATTAACTAATCTTACCCTTGAAAATACTAGTCTTGAATTATGTAGATTCATTGCAAGAAAACCTGCTAACCAATAGACCTACTTTTTTTTAACCTTTTTTTAACGCGGGGAATGCTTTTCGCATCATACCCTCCGTTGGGGAAACGTAAGGTGTGTGTGGGACTCCCCGAGAACTGGTTTACCCACTAAATCCCGCGGCGGACGATACCCCCCCGACCGCACCGGAGTGTCATCTGTCTCGGGTCGTTTGCAGCGGCCACATGGCCCCAAAAGGTAGACGCAGCGACTCTTAGGCGGCGACTGGGAAGCTAGCGACGTCTGTCGCGTCCCTGTACGCTGTCCCTGACCGTAGTAAAGGCATGAAAGCGTATTTTTAATAATAATTAGGATATCTTTACAATGAAATAATACCAATGTTGCCATAGTAACTCTGAAAATATTGAGCATTGGTTTATTGAGTTTTTACGAGTATTGCTATGAATTTGGATATTCTGTAGGCAGTCTTCTGCCCTAATCGGCTGACCCAAAACTAAAATAATGTCTGTAATTTATACAATTTCGACCATGTGGGAAATTTGCTATCATACAAAACTACATGTCGGACCCAATTGACAATAATTTAAGTATTGGTAGTTGGGCAACCACTTACTTTATTGGGGCATCCGTTCAAAAAGTAGTTAAGGTACATCTGGGTATAATAATACATCTATGTATGCCAAGATGCTATAGTCGTATGCCAAGCCCTGAACGACAGTTAAATTACAGCATATGCCACAAAGTGTTTTTACATTTGTTTTTGAAATCCTAAATGTAGATTCTTAGTTGAGAGCAGAACAAATTTTTATTCGGTATTTCCCTTAAATAATTCCCTTTAGCAGCAAGATTTATACTAATATACTTTGATTCAATATATACAACGTTGAGCATAAAGGAAGTCGCTCCTTCTATTTTAGAGAGAAACTATCTCATCCAAAAAAAAATTAAGCAGAAGCCAATGGAGGGATTAGTGATGAAAGAATCCATGCACCTTAGTAAGATATATTTCCTCCCTTTGATTACTCTACATCATCAGCCTATCGCAGTCCACTGCTGGACATAGGCCTCTCCCACTGCACGCCACTTAGATCGATTTTGGGCTTCTTGCATCCAGCTCCTGCCAGCCATCTTGCGCAAATCGTCACTCCACCTGGCCTATGGGTGTCCTACACTACGTTTGCCGAAACGCAGTCTCCACTCAAGAACTCGTTATTTTTTTCGTTTTTTTTTATTACCCTACGCACGACTGAAATGTGACATATGAAATATACCGCAAATATTTAAAGGTCTCTTCCTATTAGAGTGATTGTGTACTTATTGCCTATTCTCTAGTATCATCTACAGCGTAACTTACCTAATTGTTTCAAAGTAACGAAACGAATTCACAAACATTTAGCAAATGTTAACCCAAGCGTTAACACGACCATCGCTATGTTGATAAAATTTGACTGCTTAGTACGCAGAAAGTTGACAAATTCTGATCTAAATGTAGCTATAACATCGTGTACTCATTTTTGTTCTTTTTTGCATTACAGAGAACAGAAGAACAGAAAATTATATACTCGGGTCAGCTTCTAGACGATAGTACGATATTAAAAGACGTATTGAGAACTTACGAAAGTCAGATCGCTCACACAATGCATTTGGTTTGCACGCCTAGCCGCAGGGTGGAACCACAACCAGACACCAACACAGACGGCTTGAGGCGGCGAAATGTGGAGACCACGAATGCAGCTGAAACAGAAGCACCAACGGAACCACCCAGACCAGAGACCAGACAAAATGACCAAAATCATAACGTCGAAATGCAGAATTACTTGAGTTCCTTCGTAAACAATAACTACGGTAGAGTGCCACCGTATCCAAATTATAATTTTGGCGAAGGATACCTACCAGTACCGAATGATCCTGCTCAACTCGCTAACCATATGATGGTGATGCAGCAAGCCTATTTGCAATATATGCAACAATATGCCAACATGTAAGTATGTCTTGTTACTTTAGATTTTTTACTTTTTACTTTAAATTATTACCATTAAGGGCGAATATTTCAAATCAAAATCATTCATAGGCACATATAAAATTGCTTGCCGACTGATTGATTCTTCAACGTAGAGCCCAAACCGCTGGGTCTATAAAGAAGTTTTAAATTCTACAAATAAGGATTTCTGGATTTCCCCTTTTTTTTTGTTTTTTTTTCCCGTGCGGCAATCCCCTCGGATACCACCCATCGGTGGCATGTCGGACGCGAACCGACTAAAACCGCACGCCGTCTCGGGTACTAATAGCCGGGGAACCAGGTATACCCTAGAAAGGAAGTCCCTGGTGATTCTGGATTTCCCCTGAGAGGGTGAAATGAGGGATTAGCGGTTGTATCAGCGGAAGTTCGTTATTTTCAAAGTTAGAAACACGAAATAAAAAATAGTAACGCAAGCTAACCCGCGAGCAATAACTAGTTAACACGTCGATGGACGGGATGTCCATAGACGTAAAAATCATCATAACTGATACGGCAACGCTCGACAACTGAGTTCTTTTTTTGTAAAAATCAGTACGCCTTTCGACGATCATTTTCCTATACAAACACATGAAACTTGACACCATAGCTTGTCCACACACTAACATATACTTTAATAGCGTCGTCGTCGTGAGTTTCCTTTAAACACATTCTGAAAAGTTTCTGAACAATCAAGCAATATTCACTCAAAACGAAAAAAGTAAAACCTTCGTTTGGCTAACTGTAGCAAGCCCTCTTAAGAAATATCGTCTAAAATCCCGACAATTGCGAGTCGGACTCGCCCAACGAGAGTTCCGTACGCATTTGTGCATATTGGTACATATTATAAATAGTTCAGGAATCCGATCGCTCAGTTTTTGCCGAGCTTTGCCGGTATTCACTTTCAAATTCAGTTTCCAAAACCTATAATTACTTATATTCTTGAGTTTTGTTCGAGAAATTGTACATTGATGATTGATTACGTACTTTAAATGAAGACTTATTTATTTTAAGATTTATTTAAAAATGTATAGTTTTCAGATTTTTTCCTGTACTTGTATTATAATTGCCAAACTTCAGAGTTATGGGTCAACGGCAAGTTGAATTTTGATTCTCTAGAGAGTTTCGAAATAGGCCTTTATAACGGCCTGTATAACAGCATAAACGGCCGTATCTTCTTAATTTTCTGAAAAGGGCACAATGGAGTTCCAATTATCCAACTCATGGGGATAATGTTTTGCCACATGTTTAGCGTTTGTTTTTTTGAATTCACATTGTAATTCAAATCATTTATTTCAACTAAACTAATAATAGGTTTTGGTTTATCATGAGTAGCGATCAGTCAAAAATCAAGCGCGAAGCTAGTTGCCTGTACCAATGTGAAGATCCTATTAAGAATAAGAGGCAATAAACTCTTTTTTATAAAAGTCCTCTTATTAAAGGGACCATACAAAGTATGACATACTCAGAACTGCCATGCAACTTTTTTTACCGTGGGAGAGCCGGCTCGACCAGAGTGATACCACGGCCTCACAGAAAACCGTTGTTAAGCAATTCTTTCGTTGCCTTTCACTGAGTGAGTGAGGTTACCGCAGCCCAAATCCCCACTCCCGCTGACTCGAGCGGGAGGGACTCCAAGGGCAGCAACGCACTTGTGACTTTTGAGTTGCAGGTGTCCATGAGCGGCGATAGTTGCTTACCATGAGGTGACCCGTCTGCTCGTTTGCCCCCTTATACTATAAAAAAATGTAACATAGTTACAATAATAAACACCGTGGCCTTTAGCTAAAATTTGTACAAATTACTTCCGCAATTGACATGATAAAAATTGTTATTTTAAGCCTCGCCATGTTTCAACAGCAAATATTATGGTTTTTCGCACACGCACTTATTCTCTCGGTTACAGGCAGTTGGTCAAATATATTGTAACTAATTAAACTATACAGTCTCTCCAGGTGATGTCATTGGCAGTGATATATCGAATTTTATACACGTTACAGCTACATAAGAATATTCATGACGTGTTTGTGTTAATATTTTATGTAGTTTTCTTGACCTTACATATTTTAAGGCCAATTATTTAGAACAAGGATGTTACTAAAATGTATAGTATGGACTTCTCAGTAACGCTCAGATCGAGTTACATCGATACCACGACCCTAACCTGCTGCAGCAAATAGCTTTGGCTTTCAAAAAATATCTCTATTTTCCAATCTTTAACTGTCGAAGTGCCGATGGTCTGTCCTCTATTACGTAAAGGGTACAAAACTATAGTTGGATTGGTTGGGATCTAACGCGCTTCAGCCTACCCTTTCGGGGATACAGGCTTGAGTGTACTTATATCTACGTACCGCGTAAGTGTTATCGCGATCACCTTTCCATTCATACAAGCACGTAATAAAATACAACACATTCTGTGGTAGTTTTGTTTTCTCTGCAATTTTGTGATTTCAAAATATGGACGGAACAAAAGGATTTTTCCATTGAAGTTAAATAATTTCTATATTAATTGATAATGAAAAACTGGAATATATGGCATCGTTAAAAAAAGAGCAATATTCCAAACTATTCGTCTCACTTTATTTGGCGTTTTCTATCATTTGACAAGTTTCTACGTCAATGTTTCTTATATGACACAACACAGCGAGCGCACGACACTAAAATTACCTATTCCATTTTTCCTCAAGAAGCAACCCACCAATATAAACGTGAAACTTTTATACCATGTCTTTCAGACATAATTTAACCAAAAAAAATACCCAAAAAAAATTATTTCATCATCATCATCATCAGCCTATCGCAGTCCACTGCTGGACATAGGCCTCTCCCATTGCACGCCACTTAAGTCGATTTTGGGCTTCTCGCATCCAGCTCCTGCCAGCCATCTTGCGCAAATCGTCACTCCACCTGGCCTGTTGGCGTCCTACACTACGTTACCCGAATCTTATTTGATCTCTAAATATTCACACCTTTAATTTACCATATCTCCAAGAAGTGTGATACAATTGATTTTGTTAACGTACCTATAATCTGGATACTTTTGTACCTAGAGCAGTTGTGATAGTTGAATACAGCCGGGGCCTGAGGTGAAGGGCGGGTGCACCTCCCCTGGCCGCCCGCAAGTTCCCCTTGCACGTCCACATTAAAATGCCGTCCTTTACACTGTCGCGTTTCTGATTTCTGCATAAACGCCTACTATTTATAAGTCTGCTTAAATCAAGATGATTTGTGTAAGAGGTGACATATGTATGTCATTTCTATTATTAGTTAGTAAACTATTTCAAATGGTTGAAAGATTTTAGTAGTAAAAAAAGTGGGTTGTTGGCTCGTCGCCTACTCACCAGTAATTAAATATGCTCTAATCTGTAAATTATAGAATATGCGTGGGAACATAGATTCCAATTTTGAGACACTTCAACGAGCAGACGGATCATCTGATAGAAAGTGACTACCGCCGCTCATGAACACCTCAGGAGTCACAAGCGCATTGATGTTGATGTCATTTACTCATATACGTACGTGATGCAATTGCTGTGTACCTTAGCAAGGCAATAGCGGGTTCAGGATTTGCGTTGGTTTTAGTTTCCCTTAAGGTCGATATCTTGGTTGATTAAGTCTACCCATTGACAGTACCAATACCTTAAAAAGAAATGACTAAATTCCACTAGGCGTCGTGTCAACAAGAGATCTTGAGTCTATTGAGTTGATCTATGTTTGTTCGCTGCTTTTATTAACATCATCCCTTCTGCCTTTTCTCCTTCATTAGACCAATTTCGGCAATTTCAGGAGACTTGAAGGTTAACCACAAAAACTTGGCTAGTCATAGAAAGTATTCCAGGCAGTTTTGCTCACTTGGATTTCACTGTTGAGATGTCATTAGCCCATTCCTAACATAGTTTTGTAAGGTCAGGTCAACTGGAATATAGTTCCATGTTTTTAGCTATACTTCAATAAATATTTTTTGATAACTTTATGCACTTTTGTACATAGGACTTAATGCCCTAGGCATTCTCTTCCAGTCAACCTTTAGGTAGTGTAGAAATCGTGAGTGGTAGGCGCACATAGGTTATAACACTAATCACTTAAATAAACACTACACATACATACACAATACCCATAAACTAAATATCATTGCTTTTCAGGTGGCAAGCAGCCGGAGGAGCCCCAGCAGCGCCGCCGCCCGAGCCTCCCGCGGCAGCGGCCGCGGCCGAAGCTCCCGCAGCTCCTGTCGAAGAACAAGACGAAGCACTTGCTAGGGATTGGCTGGACCATCTATACGCAGCATCCAGACTTGCCATATTGTTCTCCTTGGTCTACCTGTACGGTAGTCCTGCTAGATTGTTGCTAGTACTGCTGTTAGCTGCTGCGGGATACCTGTGAGTATTTCTAAATAGCTTTTTGCCTTATTCTTAGAAATTTAGTTCCAATCGACAGATAGTGGGACTAATATTTGAAATTGTATTGTCTGTTTTATCGTAATAAGAGAACGGTAGTTAAAGAGATACGGAGCCCTCATGTTCCTATGTAGCTCACTAACACTAGCCGTTGTCTACAGTTTCACGTGTTTATGTTCACTGCTTAGTTCTTAGGGTCAAAGCATGATGTTACTAGCCTAAAACTTTCTTCAATACTATATCCAGTACAAAAATAATTGATAATATAAAACTGCTATAGATTAGAGCATTGTTTTTAAATTGCATTAGTAAAAATATTTGATTTCAGTGAAATTATAACACTTCCAAACATTAATACGGCGAAAGACTCATGTAAACCGACCGCCCAAATCCCCTCCTCCTTAATTCTGGGTGGGAAGCACACAAAACGTGGCAACGCACTTGTGTTTATTTATTTCTTTTTGCACAAATAACAGTTGATTGTACCACAGTGGACTTAATGCCACAGGCATTTTCTCCCAGTTTACCTGGGGGTGTTGGGGAAATGTCTGGGTAGGTGCACTAGAAATTAAGTGTTATGTGTTAACGAGATAATAATAATTAAAGATATGAATAAAAACAACGTGACAGATATACACACATACAAACTGAGATACACATACTCGTATGTACATATAATACAATATATAAAACTTTAGGGATGTGATGAATCTTATAGAGTGTCAAGAATTCGAGCTCGGACTTTGATTGTATCTGTTTTGGGGATGCCTTACTAGATGCCTCTCGGACCCGGTGGGGGCTTTTTTCTAGGTGGCACTTTATAAGTTCTAATTCATATTTAATATCATTACAGTCATCAAATCGGCTTCTTCCGCGACCTCCACGTGAATCCACAACAGAACATAAACCGCCGCGTCGGGCAACCGCAGCAACCACAACAGCCTCAGCAACCAGCCGCCGAAAATGGCAACCAACCTGCTGAGGGAGCAACTCCACCACCGACCAGTCCCGCAACCAATAACGAAAACCAACAGTCGTTATTAGCAGTAACGTGGATGATTTTTACTTCGTTCTTCGCATCGTTGATTCCTGATACAAACTAGAGGGTAGATTTAAAAATATTATAGAATAGTAAAAATATTTTCTATGGTAAAAGATAAAAAATGTTGTCTCTCACTATCGGAGTTTAAGGCGTCGATAGCTAAGTCTGATGGGTTAACATTGGAAGAAAAAAAGTCTTAGATTTTTCCTGTCTTTTGATATGACTCTCGTGTTAGATGGTACTTTAACTATAACGTATAAAGCTAGGTATTATTCTATCTCATGTCACGCTAGGCGTTTTTCTAACAAGCGTTGTGACGTTAGGCATTAGTTTGACAATATCGTGTCAAGTTAGGCGTTATTTTAACAACACCGCGTCATGCTAGGCGTTACTTAATGACATGTTACGCTAGGTAATACAATACTATGTCACGTTAGGATTTTTCCTTTGTAGATTGAACACTGTAGGCATATTGAGTTTTTGCGATTGGCAATCAAATTCCAAATTCTGTCGGTTGTTTTACAAGTGCCTCTAACTCTAACTTCAAACTCAAAATGGGCGAATTATTGGTTCGAAAATACGCGTTTTTGCAAGAATCAAAAATTAATTTAATATGAATTGTGGGGAAATTTACTAAACCAAATATTGTGAAAAAAAAATAATAATAATATTCTTGCAAGAGAGTAAATGAATCCTATGAACTATTTCCCGTAATCGGAAATACAACATTGTCATCAAATTGACCAAAAACTTAGAAAATAAACAAAAAATATGTCATAAAGGAAATAAAATAATAATAATTTGAATGTTCAAACTTCGGCTCAACATTAACTTTACGTTCAAATCAAAATGAACTCTGTTTTAAACGTCATATTATCTAATTTTCCAATAAACAGTTTATTTTGACCATACCAGAAAAGCCTGGGTGACAGTAACTTTAAAACAAAAGTGACATTCTGTTCATATTTGTGTCAACTGAATTATGGTAAAATCTAGCTTTTCTGAGTATATTCAATAATTTTGCAAGTGATCCTGATACCAGTTTCTTTGTCATAGAGTTGATCACTGTAAAGCAAATTTTATGTCTTGAGTTGGTTTTTTTTTTAATTATTCTTATTCATGACCATAGATACTCTTTCAGTCGAAAACATAGATGGGTTTAAACTTACTTAGGAGTCTTGAGTTGGGTTACTTAAGAGTTGCCACCCTTCAGAGTTCCAGGGTTTTTTGAGCTAGTTAGAGTTTTTTGGATGAATAGTTGTTGGGGGAGTCTCGAAGCTGATACTTATTTCTAGACACACATCTAAAATTTACAACAAATCGTTGAATACATAAATAAATTGTCAAGGATCGAACCCAGAGCACTCGACGGTATTACCACGACTCGACGGCCATACTGCCATACTCGTTTTCAATACCCATTTAGTTCATACACAAAAACTGGGAAACATACAAAACCCACCTGACCATAATAATTGGCTTTAGATTTTTTTTTAATATGCGTTTCCCAGTATTTTTAATGTGGTAACATCTTTCCTCTGGCCTACCTGTGGGAGTAATTTCGTAGAAAGGGACGGAAAAGCGCGCGCCTTTTCATGTGACCAATGAGCGCGCGGTATTTTACTTAGCTGTCACATTGTGTGACCAATGAGGACGCGGTGTTTGACCAGGCTGTCAAATGGTAGGTAAGATGTCAGATGGTTCGACATATGCAACTACCGTAAGTCTCCCTCGGTTTTCATTTAAATAGCATTTCATACACACTCGCTATTACAATAGTTTTGTTTACTTTTCCCAATTTTATCATCGCCTACATTCAAATTTATTGAAGACCATTCTTGTTTCGATTTGAAAACAAAAAAAGAGAAAAAAAATTGAAAATTCCAAATTTAATTATTTTTTCAAGTTTTAGAATAGGTAGAGTTTTTTGAATTTTAGAATTGGTAGAATAGCATTTTATATTTTAAAAAAATACGTTTTTCGCACTATTTTCGACCATACCAAAATACAACTGGAATAAATTGATTGAGTTTAGCTCCGGAGCCAACCCAAAGTTTTAAAGCATTTATTTTGACAATGGATTTAAATAGAAATCTTTGTTTAACCGTTTCCAAAAAAAAAGAGGATTTTGACTTGGCTGTCAGATTGTGTGACCAATGAGCGCACGGTGTTTAACTTGGTTGTCAAATTGTGATTTGTGTCTCATGATGATGAACATTTTGTTTAATATCATTTGTCACAATAGCGGCCATTGACAATACTCCATATACTTACAATTTTTAAAACAACGCCGGGCGTCATAGTTTAGTATTAATAATAAACTGGGTTCCACTGCACCCCGGTGGTGAGGATCCCTAAAATTCAGCATATAATTTTAAAGTTAGTTTTTAGCATTTAATACGGAGATTTTAATTTTTTTTAAATCACCGCGCTCATATTTGTGTGACGTATAGTACGATATAGACGAGTACGATTTAATTTTCGGTTGCAATACGATATAATCACACTAAAGTCAACGTTGAATGTTTAATACTTTACTACAAAAATACCTTTTAATGACAGTTGTGAGATCGAAAGTCGAGACCGAACTTTTATTACGAGAATTGGCCTTCTGAACCTCATTGGTTACACATAAATTAAAAAGCTAAAGAAGGCTACTATGTTGGTAAAATATTCTACATTATTATAGTTTGTAGTTATTTATATAAAATAATAGTAGGTTATTTATTTTTGTTTATATTTTTTTTTATTATTATCGTATTTTTTTCGGGGATTTTGATAAATTTGTTTAAATCCTCTTAATTTTATTTCACCGTTTAAAAATAAATATGTAAATTTAAGAATTACATATTTCCTCAAAAGGAAAACGGCACCATTATAGGACAATTTTGTTGTCCGTCTGTCTGTTTAGACTTTTGTATCGGGAATGCGTGGAGGTCTCGAGTTGAAATTAAAACCATATACCTGAGTATATGGTTGGGTAAAACCATATACCTGAGTATGGACTGTAGACCTGAGTCTACAGTCCCTTGAACCTGATTGAAATCAAACTTCTAATTTAATGTAGTAAACGACCGTACGTTTATGCCGCAAAAAAAACGCATATTGCGAGACTCGATTTCTGAACTATTTATAATGTACCTGTGTACCTACAAGGTGGGCGAGTCCGACTCGCACTTGTCCGGTTTTTTTTTAATTTAAAAGTTGAAAAAGATTCGGGTTATTCTATAGTGTTTTCTAAATTTTTAATTCTGTATAGTTATAACACATTTGTTATTTAGATAATGAAGTACCCAACTCTGTGACGAAATACAATGATTCCTTGTACATTCATTTTTCTTTTTAATCCAGCGTTGGACGAGGTTTTTGTGCAAAAACCGGTTAACTAACAGCCGATTTTTTTAAACCTATTCTGTAATGTTTTTCTAATTACATTTTTTTACCAAATCATTAACACGTCTTTATAGATATGTGTTTGCGTTATATTTAAAAAGTAAGTAGTTCTAAATTATTATGGTTTTTAAGTAAGTACGATATTTAAAAGTTACTCTTACAGTATGAATTCCGTCATTTAATTATTTCTTTTAATTATTGGGCAGCATCTGAGAACATTTATATGTTAATACGGGTTAGCACTTTATTTGGGAATTTAAAATAGGAATACTTTAAAGTCCTATTACCAGTCGGCCCACTGGGAAAGTAATCCCTAATATTCCTTCTAGTAACACTACTGGGAATGGTCAGAATATTTTTATATTTTTTAAATTGCCCGTTCAAATGTAAAAAATTAACATATCTATCAAAATAAAGGACTTGCCATATTACTAAATCACAATGTTTCAAATAATTACACAAAGTAAAACTTACCTTATAAATGATTAAGCACCATGATCTAAAATTTAAAAAGATATAGCGTTTTTTATAGTATATAGACAACTCAAACGTTTCAAATCCAATTGAATGTAAAGCCGTTAATTCTTTATTTATGTATTTTGATTATATACTTGTTAATAAGTGCCAGAATAAGCCCAGCCTCTAGTGTCACTTGATAAGATTTCGTTTGTTCTTATAATTCCCCTTAGCTGTTGTCAGTGACAATACGTGTCATTTCGCCGCATGACATGTCGTGTCACATTTAAATTAAGAATTGCAATCTTTTGGTCTGTCACCTTTCGGCGGTTTTTGACACCTCTTTAGCAGTTTCTAAACGAGTATATAATTAATTAAACTTTCTTCTTAATTAAACTTCTTTATAAATAAATAAAAAAAACACCGTTTTGTATGTTATGTGCTGTATAATAGAAAGTAAATGTAAGATGTGTGACGGAATTAAGTTGTGTAGTTACAATATAAAGCTTATATCTGTGATTTATAATAAATAATTGTGGCTAAATTATGTTGTATTAATATTTTAGTTGTAACTACCTTTTATTGTCGTAGACAGCAAAATGATCTCAGGCCTTCATTAGCGCTTGCCTGAGGGTGGCGGACAGAGATATCCGTAGCCCGACGCAGAAGCAGGCCCGAAACAGTGACGTAACGTGTTCCGTGTTCTCTCTTAATTGAATGACCTCCCGACAATGGGGTCGCCATAATTACAGGTGACCAAGTCCTCCACTTGGGGCTCTGACAAAAGTCTGATGACGATATTGGCACCTGACAGTCTGTGGTTTTGGTCAGTTCAAGTCAAGTCAATTCAAGATAAACCACGTTACCGTTTGGCCCTCGTGGGATGATGGTTTCCACATGGTGAAAGTACCTTTTAGTATTAAAGTAGATTGTAGTGTTGTTATAGAAAGTACTTGTAACGCTATGTACAATATCTAAGATAAATATTATTGGGCTGCTGATCCTTTTTTTTATCAGATTCGCTAATTAACTAAACCACTTAACAAATCTGAATATTCGGTCTTAGTTACCCTGATTGGTACTGCAAGGCCGTAGGTTCGACTCTCACCCTGGACAAATAATAGTTTGATAAGCACGACTATTTATTGTCTGGTAATTTATCTATACTAACATTATAAAAAGGTTAAGTTTCTGAGTTTGAATGTTTGGGGTAATATCAGGAACACACGAACACCACTTACCGACAGCAATGTCCGATATTGCCATAGCGCAGAAGCCTCCTGAGGCGTTCACAGGCTTCTAGGAGCGATTTTGTATCAGGAATGATACTTGTTCGTTGTGTGGCCACTCCCTCGCATTCCAGGATTACATGGGCGGCCTTTTCTTCTGCTTTTAGACATCCTCTACAAAGAAGACTGTCCGTCGCATTAATGATTAATAGTTATCGGTTTAGGGCTAACAGTCCTGTGATAATTCCTAATACTATTCGGATTTCTAGTCTGCTAAGACTGATCTGAGACTATCAGATATGTAGTTTTTAATATTATTATTTAGAATCCAGTACATTAGTTACTGGGATATGAATTTCTAATGATTTAATAAATAAGGGGGGCATGGAGGGATTAATAAAGGTAAATGATGACCCAAATATCATGATGTATATGAAACAGTCGCAGAAAAAGGCGTGACGATTGCTCCACCGACAAGGACCTGGCCTTTATATTGAGAGAGATGTCACGAATGCCGTCAAATACCTTAAAAATTAAAACTTAAAAAAAATATGCAGATGAAGTGCCTATGGTCCGACTGCGAGGTTATGAAGAATGGTCAGTCCAAATAGTTCTGGATCAACCAGTGGCACCATGATTGGACCACGAGAAATTAACGTCTCTAGGCATAATATACGCTAACAAGGATATTCTAGGCTCTAGGACAAATTCTGGTTATATAAAGTAAAATTGACTAAGATGGGGATCGAACCCACAACACTAGACTGTCTGAACTCTCAGCTGACAAACTGCACATTTGTACTAAAAATCAAAGTATATATTAAAGTCGACTTTATATTTTTTTTAGTGAATTTGAAGATTTATATACTTTGATGGGCCATGCTTCGGCACGAATGCACGGCCTCACAGAAAACCGGTATTAAGCAATTCTTTCGTTGCCTTTCACTGAGTAAGGTTATCGGAGCCCCAATCCCCCTACCCGCTGACTCGAGCGGGAGGGACTCCTAGGGCAGCAACGCACTTGTGATTTTTGAGTTGCAGGTGTCCATGCCCACGGTTTGCCCCCTTATACCATAAAAAAAATGTTACAATGTTGTACAAATAAATAATTTTATTTGTCATGAAAATTAAAAATCATCACTAAAATCAACATCCATTATCTCTGTAACTCCATCTGCAGGATCTTTCTGTTTTACATTTTCATCTACAGTGAAGTTTCGACTACTGCAATCATTTAGTTCGTTTTTTGCTTCATCAATATTATCATTACTGATTGATTTGTTGCTGGGATTGGTGTCATTTTCAATTGTACCTTGGATTTCCTTAATTTGATTATCATTTACTTCAGCAATCACTGTATCACTGTCTTTTTCAAAGTCATTATTACTTAATCTAAGTTCTTTATCACCATCATCACTATTTTCTTCTGTTATCACAGAATTATTATGATCACTCTGTTTGTGACTCATCTCTGTAATATCCAGAGCATTGCTATGTTTATTGTTTGATTTAGACACATCAACATCGTCATTTTTATCACTATTTTTGATACTCTGATCATCAATAATCATTTCTTCTGAGTCATTATGACTAGTCATGTCAACATATACTAGTTTATCACCACTTTTATCTTCATCAACATTTGTATTGTGATGAACATCTACTACAATGGACGCGTTGAGTGTGGACGGACCTTCATCGGAATCTGAACTGTCTATAACATTGGACCTGTTATTTTTGTTATTTGTTTTAACAACTTGGTCACTTGTATTTATTATGTAACTTGTATTAGTACTGCCAGGTTCATCGACTTCTACAATGGTACAACTAGTTGTATTATGACTAATATTTGTGGTTTGTTTGAGTCTTGCTAAACGTCTTTCTTCTGCTAATTTTCGGTTTCTAAGCATTCTTTCTTTTTGTTCCTCGCTTATTGAAGGAGATGACGTGGCTTTCGGAAGCATTAAGGATGGTCTGTAAATAAAATTTTAACATAACACAAATTATTGGTCTCGTTTTTAAGTTATAAGTAAATCTAAGTTATCACACAGTGTTTAGCTCAACTCAACTGTAGTACACCATAGCAAGAAAACCTATATATGTTCCTAAATATCTAAGCGTCCTAACTTAGCCTAGGTTGATGATAATGTTGAGTAAGATAAAATTATATAAAAGATAGATTATAATCTATAACTTTATCCACTTTGTCTACTGTCACTTTATTCTAAAATTGATTGACAAAATAGTATTAACACAAGCAAAGTCATGTACAAAAGCTAACTATAAGATACATTTTAAATGTTTGCCAAAATGATTTTGTCAAACACTTTAATATAATTGGTTATTTGAACATAGCTGCACTGATGATAAATAGTACTTTTACTGGTGACTATAAACTTTATGTCCGTAAAGCTATGTATCTTTGTGGTGGTGGTGGATTAAGAATACGGAAGGTCACCACCCCTTTTTTTTTTTGACCTATTCATACCGTGGGACTCATATTCATGTCATGAGAGCCGACTAAGAGAGTAAACTAAGCAGGACAACAGCACTGCATAGAGAAGGAAAACTTGACACTAACCCTATACCAACCTGTCTGGTCAGCGTGGTATAGTAGCCCAAAACCTCCTTTCTAAGGAGAGGCCTATGTCCAGCAGTGGACTATTATAGGCTGTTGATGTGACAAGTTTTATAAGTGCCAGTAACCAGTTTGCTCATATTTGACACCAAAATAAAATTACCATATAATAGTCCATAGAAATTACCTGTCATCAGGAATTGGGGTTGTCATAACCCTTTCCCACTGATCAGCTTTCTTTGTAGCTTTTTTTACAGAATCTGGGGCTGGAGTAGCTCGAGCTATCTCTATTTGTTGGCGCAGCAACTTGTCAAACTCATCCTCTTCCTGTGGCGGTTGAGCCTCATCATCACTTGAGTCCTTTTGTACAACTGTCTCTTCTGACAGGAATTGATCAGTGCGGATTTTGTGAAGATGAACCTTAACAAAAGATACAACAGAATATTAGACCTATATACAGGTATTACGGTTGGTCAAATTTTAGGAGTGCTATGGCATAGCTGAGAAGTATTTAATTTGTATGTTTTCGTCATTAATTTCATTGTTCTTTTTGGTACATTGAATAAACATCTAAAATAATTTCATTTTAAATATTCTAGTAAGTGTAGGTGCCTTTGTTTGTTGGTTTCTTTTCAGGTGGGTATTTATTATTTTTGATGCTAGCCATGGTCTTCACACAACCGGAAGAACAAATAATTGATAAACTTTGAGTTTAATGTTTAATTAATTTCAATCTCCTGTTAAACTTTATAATCATATAAACATATATCCATTATTTTCTTAATATATCACAATTAGATATAAAATCTATTCAGTTGGTCTTAAAAGAATGAAGTGATATATGAACAATTAAGAATAGGGAATGCCACAATCCCTAATCATCCTGTGGGTGTTGTCAAAGCCGACTAAGGGAGCAAACTACGCAGGACCACACCTGTTGATTAATAATAATATACCTTACACATCTCACACACGGCAGTCTGATTCCAAACTAGGCAGAGCCTGTGCTATGGCGGACAGAATGCTGATAAACATACTTAGATATATTTAAATACATACATAATATAGATAAATTACACCCAGACACAGAACAAATTCAATTATTGATTAAAAAACGACATAAATTATCATATTCAAAATGCTACTAACGGAACTTGATTATGAAGTTAATTTTTATCACTTAACATACATACAACAACATGAATGATAAATTTAGTGAAATTACAGGTCTTTCTTTCTTTTTCTTTCTTTTAAAAAGACCTTAGGAGTTTGAACCCACAACACTCGGCGTAGTAGGAAGCGGTGTGGCGACCGCTTAAACCACTACGCCATCCGTGCAGTCGCTACGTCGTGCGGTCTACCATAGCTACCATGTAGTGAGTAACTTAAACTCATGCCACAACCATTCAATATTGGTTTGTCAATGAGGTTTACATCATACTGTTCCGTTTCAAAATTTAGTCATAAACATGTCATAATTTTACTAAGTTTTAAACTATTGTGTTCAATAATTATTTTGAGCTTATTGTGACCTCGTTGATTCCCATAAACATAATTAAATTTTATTATTTTAACAAGCTTACCATAACTGGCCTCTTCCTGCCAAGAGTTTCAATCTTCTTCAAACAATCTTGAAACTCAAATTTAGGATACAGTCTATATGCCCAGTGCTCCAGTTTTTTAAGAACCATGTCTAAATCTTCTTTTTCATGTCCTTTACCTAGAAAAGTTATTCAGTATTTATTAAAGTAATGTGTTTAGTAAAGCACGGACTGCACGGATGGCGTAGTGGTTTAAACGGTCGCCACGACACAGGATTTATTCCTAATGCGGGAGTTGTCTTTTTTAAGAATAAATAAGAACAGAACAATAAGGCAAGTAAACACATCATTTTCAAAATTGTTTTTAACTATAACATTAGACTTGTTTATAAACCTGCTTTATTAGCTTGACCTGTATGAATGTATCTATGTAATGGAATCTTTTAACTAGTTTTGTCTAGTTACAAAAGCATGTTTTTTAGTTTTCTAAACTGTAATTTTTTGATTTAAGCACTGACCAGATTAAGCTAGTGGTAACAGGGTCCAACTGTTACCACTAGCTTGATCTGCATCAGTGCTTTTTTCATTCTGACCACAGTTTTTGAAATTTATAGAATTGTTTATTGAATATTATAGAAATAATGAATTTACCTTTAAATTTAAAATCTTTAAAATGTTCAGGAATAACTTGAATGCCCCTGGGACCAGTTAATCGGGCTGGATTCAGTACAAATCTTGGGTTTTTAATCACCTTCTTTGTTTTTGTTGATGCTGGATCCACTCGCCTCTTATCTTCCTCTGAAAAATTAATTATTTAGTTTGTTTTCACTAATGAAATGTTAACATCTGTGGCTATGAGATTTATTTTTAAATTTATTTTAATCATACATACGGTATTGCTGATATTATTGGGAGCCTTGTAGTTAGTAACTAGACATAGACCATTGAAAGCACTAAATTTAAAAGAAATGGACTACTTAATGCCATTGTTTGACAGCCATGTTTTGTTCTATGCAATATTAAAGCTTACCTGCCTTATCTTCTCGTTTACCACTATCACTTTCATCATCAGTAGGTGACAATGACCGCGGGCGCTCATCATATCCATCACCTTCGATCACTCTTTCCAGATCTTCAGCTTCATTCGCCTCATCCTGCAGAAATACATCTTCAAGAAGAGACATAACACGTACTAAAAACAGATGACCACAGAAGACAACAAAAATAGTAAAGTTACAAAATCAACAGTGAAATTTAAATAGAAAATTTAACAAAATTGTTTTGACAGACATTACAGCTAGGGATATTCACTTAACATCGATATATCGAATTTATTCGATGTATTCCGTACGATATATCGGATTGATTCGATGTTTTGACTAACATTTATTGTATTCGATATATCGATATATTTATTTATAGAAACATCGAATATTTGCTTTTTTTATTTTCTTGTCGAATCTATTAACGAACTAAATAATTTTAACACTACTTGATGCCTTCAATTTTAAATAAGGTTCATTAAGATAGTGACATCTGTGAGTGACCATCTTAATTATCTAATCTATCCTGACAGATCGATCGACTATTCACTCTCAATGTATGTATAGTCTGTGGATTCTATAGGTTCATTATATTTACTTACACTCACTTCACTCTTCTTGCGTCGTCTTCTTCTGTTTGGCGGTAACGCAAATAAATCATTGTTTTAATTGTTTATCTAAGACAAATTTAGGTAAGAATTTTACTTGCTACTATAATTTATTACTCTAAAATTACTGATTTGACCTATCGTTTGATTGCTAGTTCGAAGTTGAAAAGGCTACTCGTTTGTGACAGTGTTTTATATTGAAGATATAATATAATGATCTTTTATATGTATTACACTACTAGTTTAGCTATGTTACTCTGGTCTCTAATTCTACATTCATACTTACAAAATCAAGGACCACAAACTTTGTGCGTTTCACTGGAAAAAGGTAATATTAAATTTTTGTGGAAAGTATTCGATAGTGAAAAAATATCGATGTTTTCTAGCGATATATCGATAAACATCGATGCTGGGATCCAATATTTTACATCGAATATAAATATCGATATATTTTTTAAGTGGACACCCCTAATTACAGCGGGAAATTTTGTTTCGTCCAGTGACCGCAAGTAAACTTAAGTAGGTATTTTTTTCATCTCGATAATGAACAAACAATACTGATTATTTAAACTAAAAAGTTATCAGAAATATAAAAATTATTAAAATTATTATGCTTCAAACGTATTATAATAATGATTCCTTATAAAATATTTTTTTCGGTACTAAGCTTTTCTGAACGTTACAATTTCATACACTGTGGCTGTAAACGCCCTTTTCCAAGTTTTTAATTTAAAAAAAAAACGAAAATCGGTATTCCCTATAAAAACCGGTATTTAACTCTTTGATAAATCTTATTTCATATAAGCTAAATGAGATATTTTTATTTTCATGTAACATAACTTAGAAATTGAATATAATATTAATAACAACAAAAACAGTAAAAGGAGAACAGTACAAAATCATGGGTTTTCTATTTGACTTCAATCTTTTAGAGCCAACCTACGCGATTTTTATTCTGATATAAAATCGTCCCAAGCGGTTGATAGAGATTTGACTATCTGATTGCTAAATTAATACAAGTTAACAACGTGAGCAATAACAACAGACTCTACGGAAGACGTAGTGGTTTAAGCAGTCGCCACGCCGCTTACTACTGCGATGAGTATTGTGGGTCTGATCCCCACATGGGACTACACTTTGTGTGATCCACAAATTGTTGTGCTGGGTCTGGATGTTCCTTGTGTCCGTTTCATGTATGTTTGTAAAGTCCCCAGGATACAGGATAAACAAGAAGACAGGATATTTACTAGTTGTCTTTTTGAAGAAGTCAATTTTAACATCATATTGTACTCATGTTATGGCAAATAAATCATTTTTATCTTTATCATGATTGAGGTCAATGTGAACTGTGCTCATTGGCAACCTTAGCCATATTGCGAGGCCCTGAGGATTATTTCGAGCGCCTGGGCTGGTGATTCATTATGAGATCCTTGTCTTTGTGGAATTAGTTTTAATAATGATGACTTGAATTAGTCATAATAATAAAATCCAAGGATATGTTATGTCCACAATTAACACAAACAAAAAAGGTACACTCTTTCGTTACTAAAAATAAATCAATTGCAAAATAAAATTTCTGTGAGTACATTAACTGGTTAATAGTGTGTTATAAATTTTCAGAGACTAAATTGTAATGAGTATAATATTATTTTGGTAGTGTTTATATCTAAGTTTATATACTTTGATTGCTTTTTAATAAATTTGAATCATTCAGAAACTTTTTTATTTTGTAGAACTGGCCAATCCTTTAACCGGTTTTAAAAAAATTCATACGTGTCGCAACACTAGATAGTCACGTGACCAGCTTGCGTTTGAGCGCACTAACAGGTATGGAAATTAGTAAATTTTATTAGAAATTTAGTTGTATTTTGGATATTATTGTAGAAATAAGGTAAAAACTATTTTTTTATTGTAATTGTGTGTTGATGTGCGTTTAAATGAGGTGATAATTGGTGGTGTGCACGTTTATTTCGTCAACAAAGACTGTCATTTTGATACCAAGAAAGGTGCTTCAAGAATGGCGTCCCCCACATGTGCCGCTGGCCTATTGAGTTTCGTCTTGACGGTGTTTTATTCTGATGACGTGACCTATTGAAATGGCGTGATAAAATTGATACGTGGGATTTCCACCGACGTTCCGGTAGAAATTGTCGATAATTTCATGTTTGACTGGTACCCTTGCACTGCCACATTCAGTGATTCATTGTTCCGATTTTTACGAAAAAAACACTAAAAAATTTATTTCGATGTGTCAGTAAGGACGTAATACAGTCCTTGTAATGTGTTTTAATTCGTAAATTTGTGTATTTTTTGGTGAAAACAGTGTTTATACGCGATCCGCCCAATTGTTTTGTTTACTTCTTTACCGCGTACCCCTCAGTTCGGGAACGGTGATGTCTGTATCATATTGACTATCTTCGTTTTATGGGTGTGTTTTTCAAATTTATAGTCTAAAATAGAACACTAAACCTATCGTTTGTGATCTCCAATGCCGATATTTTGATATATTGTTGCTTATATTACTAAAACAATCGGAAACGCAATGATTACAAGAGCTTTCGGTTACAAAACATTGTTCGTACTTGGTGTTATAACGGCACATTTGATAACATTATTTCAGTTATAAACTTGAATGCCCAATTACTTGTTATTTACACAATTTTCCGCATAATTTTGTCTAACCTACACATTATATTGCGTAAAACATTAATTTTTAAACATTAATAATATTTTTTTAAATATATATTATTCATTTACGATTACATTGCATTTAAATTCCACTAAAGTCAAGATCAATGACCTTTTAATTATTTCATGACACCTACATGCCATAATACATTGCTGTGATAAAATATTTGGTAACTACATAAATTAAAATAAATTCATTCATTCAAACTACATAGTTTCTAGAAACAACTATTTATAAATATTCTATCTTTCCACACTTTTCATTCTTAATTTGATTCTTTTTCATATTAATCGCTGATTTATTTAAATTATATATCAACTGCCATGACTGTTTCTATGAGAAACTTTAAGAAACTCCCTTTTTTAACATGTTCATCATCATCATCATCAACAGCCTGTAATAGTCCACTGCTGGACATTAGCCTCTCCTCAGAAAGGAGGTTTATTTAGATGGTTAAGCATCATATATTTTGGTTTAATATAAAATAACCTATTATATTCCGTCCAGTAATTTATTTATTTTTACAGTTTCACAAGTAGTTAGTGATGAATCATCACATTAATTTTTGTTTTAAAGTAAGTTTTATTTGATTTAAATTATCCAAGTTTAATCAATACGTAACAATTGATGTAATTAATGTTAGTGTGTACTCAAACGACAAATTAAGTGTGTTCATTGTTAATTTCTCAACTAAATGTTAAATTTAAAAAAAATAACTAAATAAATAATTTAAATAACTGTAAATAAATAATTTAAATAACTGTAAATAAATAATTTAAATAACTGTAAATAAATAATAAAATATAGTTAATATTGATTCATAAATATGAATATGAAAATTAAAAAAAAAATGTTACTATTTTAACTTTGTGAAACAATAATCATTTTATTAGAAATAAATACTACATTAATAGAATCATCAATTTTCAAGATAATAAATAATGTAACAAAACTCAGCTTTAATATTTGTTAGTTTTACCTGTGTTCAGAGATAAAAATTCATCAATTTTATTTTTACTCTTGCTAAACTCAAATATCTTTATATCATAAAAAAATTAAAATTATTTGAAATGTTCTCTTGTTTTTAAAGTCATAGATTAATACACACAATAGCAACAATCTCTGTTTTCTCAAATATTTAGCAAACTAAATATATAAATATCGAAAATCTCTTATATGTATACCTGTGCCCATCTACAACCACCCATTTCCAAGGGGTTGAACCTCATGAGAAGAAAGGGCAAACAAACTCACACCCACTCTTTTCAATTAACAGATAACAATGGCATCATTAATATCCATAACATTGTTTTGATGTGTGCCAGTACGTAAGTTTAAAAAAAAAAGTTTAAAGGCCAGAACTAATAGTGTGGCCAAATTAAATGAAATTCATTTTAATTTGACCCTATAATTACTAATTGCTCTCAATTCCATTATCTAATTAAAATCCAATAAATTAAAAGAAAGCACAAGTTACTAATGTATTTTTAATAGGTTTGTTAATTATTATAACTTTAGGTTTGTGTCTCCATATATTTGCTAGTTTGTTATCAACTGTTTGGGTGATCGGATCACTTTCTAATATTTCTTAAAAAACTTGTGTAAAAATCGTTATTCTGGACAAACTTGAGGTTGTTTGTGCTCTGTTATGTGAGTTTTGAAATATATTATCTTGTTTTAATTTTAAAATGTGTTAAACGCTTGTGTAGGTGCTACTGTTATTGCCATTTGAACGTAATCCATACATATATATATTATTAAAGTGAAAGTAAGTGTTTGTTACGCTTTTATATCTAAACCACTAAACCAATATTAAAATTTTCTCACCGTTGCAAGTTACATTA